AACCGCATGCAGGCAGCCCCACTGGGGCCTTCGGTGGAGCTCCCTGTGGGGCCACGAAACGCTGCCCTTGGTGGGGGAACCGCATGCGGGCACCCCCACTGGGGCCTACGGTGGAGCTCCCTCTGGGGCTACGAAACGCTGCCCTGGGTGGGGGAACCGCATGAGGGCAGCCCCACTGGGGCCTTCGGTGGAGCTCCCTATGGGGCTACGAAACGCTGCCATGGGTGGGGGAACCGCATGTGGACACCACCACTGGGGCCTACGGTGGAGCTCCCTATGGGGCTACGAAACGCTGCCATGGGTGGGGGAACCGCATGTGGACACCCCCACTGGGGCCTTCGGTGGAGCTCCCTCTGGGGCTACGAAACGCTGCGTGGGGGAACCGCATGTGGACACCCCAACTGGGGCCTTCGGTGGAGCTCCCTATGGGGCTACGAAACGCTGCCCTGGGTGGGGGAACCGCATGTGGACACCCCCTCTGGGGCCTTCGGTGGAGCTCCCTCTGGGGCTTCGAAACGCTGCCCTGGGTGGGGGAACCGCATGTGGACACCCCCACTGGGGCCTTCGGTGGAGCTACCTCTGGGGCTACGAAACGCTGCCCTGGGTGGGGGAACCGCATGTGGACACCCCCACTGGGGCCTTCGGTGGAGCTCCCTCTGGGGCTACGAAACGCTGCCCTGGGTGGGGGAACCGCATGTGGACACCCCCACTGGGGCCTTCGGTGGAGTTCCCTCTGGGGCTACGAAACGCTGCCCTGGGTGGGGGAACCGCATGTGGACACCCCCACTGGGGCCTTCGGTGGAGCTCCCTATGGGGCTACGAAACGCTGCCCTGGGTGGGGGAACCGCATGTGGACACCCCCACTGGGGCCTTCGGTGGAGCTCCCTCTGGGGCTACGAAACGCTGCCCTGGGTGGGGGAACCGCATGTGGACACCCCCACTGGGGCCTTCGGTGGAGTTCCCTATGGGGCTACGAACGCTTGCCTGGGTGGGGGAACCGCATGTGGACACCCCCACTGGGGCCTTCGGTGGAGCTCCCTCTGGGGCTACGAAACGCTGCCCTGGGTGGGGGAACCGCATGTGGACACCCCCACTGGGGCCTTCGGTGGAGTTCCCTATGGGGCTACGAAACGCGTGAGAGGTGTGCCGAGAGCAGAGGCAAGGAAGGGGAGGAGGGGGAGGAGGAAGGAGAGGAACGCGGGGCACCGTCTCTTCAAAACGAGGACCCAACACCACAGGATGGTTGGGGGGAAAAAAAAGCGAGGGAAGGTTAGCTCTCCTCCTAATCCTCCTCTCTTTTTTAAAGCATTGGCCACGCAAACGGCCTCCCATTGAACTTTTTTTTTAACAAACGGCCCAACCCTCGAGCCTTCACAAGGCTGCGGCCCTGCACGGGTGCGTAAAGAAACGAGGAGGGGGAGGGAGTCTGCGGCCTCTGGGGGGCCCTACCAGGCCCTGGGGACCCGGGACGAGAAACCAGTCCCGGGGAATGGGTCGAGACCTCTGGGAATCGGCGTTACACGGGCGCCTAGCTTCGCGCACTGCGCTGCGAGAGGCGCGAAGCGCGAGTAACTTCGCGCCCTCGCGCCGCCCACCCGGGGAGAAGAGGAGGAAGATGAGGAATCGGAGCCGAACCGCGAAGCGCGAATCACTTCGCGTCCTCGAGGGCGCCCTTAACGTTGCGAAGACATCATGGCATGATGACGTCGGGGTTCTGGAGGAGGGAAGCCCCGAGTCCTACGGCCGTAGAGGAAGGGGCCGTCGGGGCTGCTTGGGCGCCCATGTGGAGCGGCGGTGGTTTCGGCCACGGCCAGGTGGGAGTGGTGCATCTCTGCTACTAGCTACTTCTCCCCCTCCTTTCCAGTCCAATCCTCCTCCTCCGCCTCCTCCTCCCCGTCCTCCCCCACCACCACTTTACTTTTCCTCCTCCTCCTCCTCCACCTCCTCCTCCTCCATTACTTTTCCTTGTGTAACTCCTCCCTGTCGCACTCCGAAG